TAAAATACATCTTTGATGTAAGGACACCCTTTTGAAAAAGCAGCCATTTGAAATCTATCCCTAGACCTCTAAGTTTCAAGTGTCTAGTAGATAAACTAAAGCTTAGTATGTCCTACATTTGAATGCAATCTTTCCCCTAGTGTAAGGGGTTCTGATGTAGAGTAGAAGTAAGGCCTGTTTCCATAAGATTGTTGTAAGGGTAAAATGCTTGTTATTTAAGATCTTTTATCATCCTCAGTGACTTAGTTCTCGTGTTCTTCTCTCACCTGAATTACTGCTCTAGCTTCCTAATGTAGTTAACCTATTTTTTTGTTCTTTGTATTAGGGATTCCTACGATAGGGGGATGAGTCTGTGATACCCCACAAATTAAAATTTTGTGCGGGCTTATGTGTATTTGGGGGGATAGAAGGTCAGTAGTTACTCAGTCTTAGAAGTCCTTGTTATAAAAAGTTAAGAGCCAAAGTTCTGAACAATATATATATAGAGAGATACATAGGTATAGGTCTATGTAAAGGTTCATAGTTTTTTCTCTTAAAATTTGAAGACCTGCAAAACAATGCTATATGTGAAAAAGATACATATCTAGTAGTGTATAAAAATGTGGAGAAGCCAAATTTGGCATAATCTGTTACCTTCTGTGGGGGAAAGGGAATGGAATTTGAGGAGTATGTGAGGGATCTTCAGTTACATCCGCAGCATTTTTTTTTTTTAATATGAAGGTAATGTAGTAAAAATGTTAAGCTTTACTTAACAGGCTGGGTACACAGATTCATGGGTACTTTTAGGCTATGACCTAGTAAGTTAAAAAATTAAAAGCATTCCTTCTAGTGTACTATTGACCAAGTACATTTTTTAAAAATAACCAAATTGGATTTGTTTTATTCCTGCTTAAAAACTATCCATGGTTCAGGGCCCCTGGGTGGCTTAGTTGAGCATCTGACTCTTGGTTTCAGCTCAGGTCATGATCTCATGGGTTGTGAGATTGAGCCCCATGTAGGGTGCCCTCTGTGCACCCCTCCCTCCACCCATGCTCCCTCACTCTCACTCGCTGTCTCAAACAAGTAAGTAAATCTTAAAAAAACAAAAACAAAAAAACTATCCACGGTTCCCATTGCCTTTAGGATACTCTTTGACATATTCAAAGCTCATGAAAGATCCAGCCATGGTTAACCTTTGTGGTCACATGCGCTGCTTCCTCACCGGTGCCCTGCTGTGTTTCTGGTATGCCAGACTATAAGCAAATTTTTACAGCCTGTGTTCTTTCACACCCTCAACTGAGTTTCTCTATTTGGAATGCTTATTCCTCTCCATCAAGACCTAGCTCAGTTGTCACTGTTTTTAAACCTAGGCAAGGTTAGTGGTTACCTTTTTAGGATTCACGAAGCATTTGGATGCCTTTATTTTAAGCACTTAAGTTGTCGAAATGTAGTTTTTTGTTTTTGCATTGTGCTTACTATAAGCTCAGTCTGTTGGGAAAGGCATTCATGTTTTATCTTGGTATTATTCAAGCCTAACCTGCTGGACACCAAAAATGCAGTCTTCCTGTAAGTGAATAAATGTTTTGATAGTGAAACTTTAATAGCACATACTGCACTTTTCATTTTAGAAATGGATTTAAATAAATCTCTGGTTTCTGTGATTAAATTAAAAGTTTCTTTTTTTTTTTTTTTTTCTTTTTAAAGATTTTATTTATTTGACAGGGAGAGACAGCCAGAGAGGGAACACAAGCAGGGGGAGCGGGAGAGGGAGAAGCAGGCTTCCCACAGAGCAGGGAGCCCGATGTAGGGCTTGATCCCCAGACCCTGGGATCATGACCCGAGCCAAAGGCAGATACGTAATGACTGAGCCACCCAGGCACCCCAGATTAAAAGTTTCTAGACAGGACACATGACCGCTCCCTCTAGCTTAATTTTAAGACTGCTTCATTTAGATTTCTTTCTTACATGTTTTTCAAAAAACAAGACTTGAGCATTACATTGTGCTTTAGTGGGATAGTCTATATGGGTCCCAGTAGCGCTCTACTTAGAATGGGTCTCCTCACTCTTAGGGTTTTCCCCAGCCTTGGATTTATTAGAAGGAAACTGGAGTGGTTAACGATCAAAGGAAATAGCTGTAGGAACCCAGAGCAAGCTACAACCTCAGGGACTGAAATGGCATGTGTATATGCCAGGTCAGCTCTTACTATCTCTGCTGCTCAATGTGGTCTCTTTTTCTTTGGATTCACCATGTAATTTCGGGGCACATGCCTTCCAACAGCTCTAGGTCACATCCTTACAGCTCCTGATTTAGAGAAGGAAGAAGTGTTCCAGCTTTAATTTGAAAAACCAGGCAGAGATGGATGGACTTCATTAGGTCACGTCCTGGCTTAGGTTACTTTCCAACCCTTTGAGCTAATCAGAGGCTGAAGGAACAAAATTCTGTGATTAGCCTTGTCTGAGTAATGGGTGATTGTCAGCCACCATTAACCAAACACCATTAACTACAATCACGTTTGGAGTAAAGGAAAAGCATTTTCATGAAAGCAGGTTAAGATATTTATTGAGTAGACAAAATGTCATATATATAGAAGAGCGTCTTAAGATGACTTGTTACTCTGCTTTCTCAGATTTTTTCCTTGCTAAGATGCTATTGTGTAATCTCATTTGCTTATGCTATGGTCATAATAATGTCATGAGAATTACTTGTTTTCTTAGAGGTGAGTACTGGTACATGATAGGAAAGACCTGTTTTGATACTTAAAATAACTTTGGTCATTTTTTTCAGTGTTGCATTTAACGTAGATTTTAGTACGTAAGGTAATTGGCCTAATTTTAGATCTTTGGTGATTACTTCAGAGGTGTCTTGGTCATGGAAAACTTGAAAAATAAGGCACTTAGAAATTATTTGAGAATAAGATCCTGAAATTATGGGAGGGAAAAGCTGAAATTAGACCTTCACTCTAGAGTAATAATGCTGGCATATAAAGGCTTAATGATTTATAAATATTGTGCCTAAAAACTTGTTTCTTCTATAAGAAACATTTTCTTACATTTTTCATAATTAAAATGTAATTTTCAAATGGATGTTGATATGTTCTAGATCAGCTTTATAGATTCTTGGAATTGTATTTATAATGAAGTTGTTTCAGGGTTTATATATATATTTTGTATCAGCCTATCATTAGATTGGTTTTTATTTAAAAATAACTGCTAGATTTTCTTTTCAGGCATTTAAATAAGTGAATAATTTGGGATAGATCACTGTAAGAAACTAGGAGGTAAATCTTTGTGGAAAGAGGGAGAGGGTGGTTTGGAACAGGTAAGTTGTGTTGGGGGAGGGGGCGGGTTGGTTTTTTTTTCTTTTGAACCCTTACGTTCCTGAAGGAGAGAGGGAATTCGACTGCATAAGTTAACTTTTGGTATTTTTTTTGGTGGGCCAGTTCAGCAGAAGAACTTGTTATATAAATAAGCCTTGGAACATGGGAGAATTTTGTTCATATCAGTTAGACTAGACTACTTGATTCTTACCTACAGTAAAATATTTATGCCTTGAGATGATAAAGTAGATTCCCATTATAACAAAAGTGGCTGATTGAAAACTTACCTGGCCTATGAAAAAGTAATTTGCTTGATAATGGATAGTCAATTCAAGTTGCAAGTACATTTCTATTTTTATTCAAAAAAGTATAGTTTTCAAAACTTGGTTCAGAATCATTTGATATTTTGTGAGGGTGTTTGTTTTTATTTTTAAGCTAAAAACCATACATGGTTTCTTTTAACCATTTGTTTAACTTCCATTCAAGAGTTTCTGTAATTCTACTGATCAGGATCAAAAGTGGTTGGAATGAATTTTCTCCCATTTTAAAATATGCTGAACATACAAAGGTGTATTTACTAAGGCAAGCAGAAATGATCTGATCTTCCATTATCCTGAGATTGTGAATCCTGGGATCTCTGGCTGTTTTGATAATACTAAAAGCAGATCTGGTATGAGTTTTCAGAAGCAAATTAGCAGAGTGTATCAGAGCAACCTCCCCCCCCCACCCCAGTTTTAATTGAAATATAATAGACTTGTAACGTTTTTAGTTTTAGATATACTACATAGTGTTCTGATATTTTGTGAAATGATTACCACAAGGACAACTCCTCCGCATTGGTTTTTGTTGTTGTTGTTTTAATGGAGTGAATTTGGATTAATCACTCCTGAACAATTGGCTGTTTCCTAAAGTGCATTTTGACCATATGATAGAGGCAAATGTTTGCTCTAGTTATCTCCCTGCAGTATTGTATATTCCCTGTCTTTCTTAGAAGCCCACTATTACCTCATGGGTTTATAAGTCCCTGTAGAGATTTATATATAGGTGTATATAGTTAAAGTTATATTCTCTTAAATTAAAAAAAATAAACCACTGTATTTTATTACATTATCCATATTTGTTACATACAAGTCATGGAAGAGCCAAGTACATATTTGTAAATATAAGGTCAGATGGAATTTTAGAAACTGCATGTTTTACAACAAGCAAGCTTCAGGTTCTTCCAGAGTTGTAATTTTACTGAACATTGTATAAAAGACATTGTTGAGTTGCAGGAATAAAATCAAACCAAAAAGGATACCTACCTAGCCCCATGAGAGAGTTTTCAAGTGGAAAATGAGGTCTGCAGTTAGTATGGTTCAGAAATAACAGGATTTAAGATAATAGAAACGGCGAGGGCCTCTGAGATGTCCAGAATTTCAGCAAACAACATGAATATTGAGAACTGCTTTGTCTAAGTTCTTAAGCCATGAAAGTATCTGATAAGAACTTTTTTTAATAAGGACACCTTTTGTTGGTGTAACAATTTTCATATCTATGCCTACTGTCCCAAGATCTGGACTATGGCTACTTATGCTTTTTCTCCTAGAATTTATTAATGTGAACTGTGATTGTATGTTCCTTAAAGAATGGGGTGAAAATTCTTTTCTTGCTTACGTTTTTTTATTATGGTTACATGACCCATCATTTTCTGTTTTGGTATAGGAACTTAGTGATTTGGCCCGTGACCCTCCAGCACAATGTTCTGCAGGTCCAGTTGGGGATGATAGTAAGTAACTCTCAAGTTGATTTTAATGGCTAATTTCAAAAAAGCTAGTACATTTTTAGATAACAGTTTTGTTTTGTTTTTCCCTAGTGTTTCATTGGCAAGCCACAATTATGGGACCTGTAAGTATTAAGAATTAAAACATTCTGCTTTTAGTTAAAAATTCAGCATTGACTTACTTGTATTTAACTTATATTTATTTTATTACATTGTAGTACTGTTTTGGAATTGCCATAGTTGTACTGTTTTTGAAAGACATAACAATTTAATGAATTAGTCATTTGTTACATGTGCTATGTGTCTGTCCCTGTATTCAGGTTCTGGAATATAGCATCTCTAACCTATCAAATATTTTTTCACTTTATCCTAGTTTTTCTTTCATAGTAATGTAAAGCATTGTCACAGAGCTTCCCTTTACTTATAGAGCCAGTTAATTTATTGACTCTATCATGGTGTTACTCAAAGATCTTATTCCTGTTGCTGCTGAAAGTCTGTTTTTGTTGTTGTATTTTGATATTTGATGCTTTATAGAACCTTAGTTTTTTACAAAATTTGAATATTTTTAGGTAGAAAGTGATATTTTGAATACAGCAAAATTCCTTTCTATCCTGGGTAGATAAGAAACTGTATATGCTGGATAATTGAATATTCAGAATTATGGATACCATCTAAGAATTTCACAGAATTAGAGCGCAGTAAAACAACCTGGGGTAAGACTGTATCTTGCACAATACTTAATATTTTTTTTTACTTGGAAGGCACTTGAGGATTTCTATTTTTAAGTTATATGTATGTCTTAATCTGCACCCCCCCCCCCTTGGTGGTTTAATCTCAACATAATGTCAATAATGTACTTGGTGAGATAATGGTCAATAGATAGATGTCTGTCATTCTAAAAGAAGACATGCTCTTGGAAAAGTTAGTAAGTTTTTATTCTGTAGTTCTGATTTTGATAGCAGTAATTTTTTTTTTCTATCTCAATCAATGTGATCCCCCACTATGTGCCAGCCATTAAGGATAGACATGGTCCCTCTCATTCTTTAGGGAACTTGAAATCTACTGGGAGAGACAGGCAATTAAAATAAGTGTGATAAGTTGGGAAGTAAGTGATACATAAATGAAGTGCTTAGTGGGAGAAATTTTCTGGGAAATCATAGCAGGGATGATTGAGTTAGAGTAATTCTGAAATGTTAGGACCTAAAGGTAAGGAGACTGTGAATCAACCTAAGTTAAACTTGGTGGTGGTCATGGTGGTGGTGGTAGTGGGGGATATTTAGCATCCTAATTTGAAATATATCTGTATTATCCTAATTTAAGAAACCTCAGAGTCAGAATTGTTCACTTCCAGTTACCTCAAGGACTGTTTTTACTGTTGTAAATTTTATTTTGCTTTAAAATATTTGGTAACAAAATTGTGATTTATTTATTTTAAATACATAGTTAACTTAGTGTGACTTTTACCCAGTTTGGTCCACAGAACACTTTGAAAGTTGGCAATCTTCGCAAAAAAAGCCAGACTAGACCTTCATTCCACAGCAATAATGGCTTGGGATGGAGTAGCAGCTACCTCCCTTTTTTATATGGAGTTTGTGTCTCACACTTTCTATCCACTTCATTGTGCCTACCTAGATTCTGTAGGCACTTGCATTTGTAATTCCTAGAATTTTCTCATTATAGAGCACCAATTTTCAAAGCAGAGTACTCCGTAAAATACCTTAACATTTCTAGCAAATAAAAGCTCGTCTTTGATCCAGATGGTGCTTTAAGATGACCTCATTATAAAAATTAGTTGTCAGTATTAATAAAGCACTAAAGAGTTGATAATCAAGACTTCTATGGTGTGCATAATAAACCAGCTCTTTGCAACCAGTGTGATATTTTTCTGCTGGACTTAGAGACTTCACTGTTTATTGAACTGTCTTTCCAAAAGGTAAGGAATATACTTAGAGTAAATGAAAGTGAAGTGTGAGTAGTTTATACTAGTAATTTTCCAGAGAATAAAAGAAGATTGCTTATCCTGACCTTTTTGTAGCTGTTTACCTGATTTGCTTTTATTTTCAAAAAACATTTTTCACTTGTTTATACCTATTTCAGATTGTGGCTGTTCCCTGTAAATTTTTTTCAGCAACCTTTTAATGTGTATTAATGATAGCTCTGCTTTTAAAAACAAATACTTGATTATCAGAACTATTTAAATATTCCCTGATGAACAAAAGCAAAAACTATAAATAAGCACTTGTTTAGATGCCAATTTGCAAATAGTTAATAGTTACCCTTACTTGTAGAGTCATCAATGAAATAACTCATTCTTATTTTGGCTTTTGATTGCATTTTTGTGATAAAACATCACAGTTCGATTAGATAAATAATTGCTTTATTTTGTTAGTATGTGACATGCAGATTGAATGAGCTAAAACATAGGGCCATTGGTGGCATAACAATCCATATATTTGCAGATTTGCTGAAAGGATAAATGGTGACAAAAGTAGTTTTGCTTTGGAGTACTTCTTAGGTCAGTAAAAGTGATTGGCAGTGCCACATAACTAAAGGTTCCTAACTAAGGAATGGAGCATCTAATTTAAGTTTTAATACAGTTAATTATTGAATTTTAGCGTTCTATAGTCTGGAAATGTTCTCGATCATTAAATTTATGAGGAAAATGCTTCTTTCTAGTAACTATTTAAATTGGCTGATTCTTTCTGAAGGTAGGATACTTTGGAAGCACAAATACTAATAAAAACTAAACCTTTGAAAGAATTGACAGAGCATTGCTGGCTATGTGGTTTTTTAAACTTTGGTTGTTTTTATGTTTTTTGTTTGTTTTTGTATTAAGGGTAGTTCCCATTAACAATTGATGCACTTAGGAGAAATTAACTCATCTGATATTTATACACTTGATTTTTCTATAATTGGAAATGGAGCTGACATAAAGATGTTTTGAAGTTATTTGGAGAACCACACTGACTTCCACCTAATCTTTGATACAGTAATGGAAGAAAGTACCATTTTTGGGTAATATAACATAATCTTTGGCAGCCTGAGCAAAATCAGCTGCAAAAACCATCTGGTCAGATAATTCGTTCATAGGTATTTTCTTATTGGTCCATAAGGGTTATTTTTCAACTTATTTTAAGTGTATTCAGTTCTTGCAAAGGCTAATGATGCATGACAGCTCTTCTCTTCAGTACCTTTTTAAGGAACTTTGTAGTCTAGAGGAAGAGGAAAATAAAAATAAGTTATATAAGTATGTTGGATAGTAATAACTGTGTTGTATAGAAAGGTATAAAAGAAGGGCAACAAGCATGTTGAACTAAATGAAGGGAAGGCTGTATTATCTTTTTAAAGACATTTAAGCTTGATATGGATCCTACAGTGTAGGTATGGTCCTAGAGATGAAGAAGATAAGGATACAGATAAGAATAGTTCAAATAGAAGAAATAAATACTAGGAGAAAAAGGAGATGTGAAATATTTTAAGTGCAGTAAGGAGGGCATATTCAGGAGAAAGAGGTGGAAGATGAGACCAGCTATATTGGTGGGAAGGAGATCATAAAGCACCTTGTTGTATGCTTAGTTAGGAGTTTGTACTTTATCTTGAAAGCTGTGCTAGATTTCAAGCAGGGATGTAACTTGTGTTTTAGGACAACAACAGCATTAGGGTAAGGGATAAATTAGAAGAAAAAAACAGTGAAGGCAGGAATACCAGAAGTAAGCCATTGCCATAATATAAACAAAACATAGTAAGATCTTGAATGGAGTAGTGACAGCATAAAGGAGAGGAAGCTAGTTGAAGAGATTTTTAAGGATCTTTAAGATTAATAACTACTATGATCGGTGATCTGTTCCTGGTTTGTGGTTTGAGTTTTGGACACATGAGACATCCAAGGATAAATATTTATAGGCATTTGAATATATATGTCCTGGAATTAATAAGTATACTAGAGAAAAATTGAAGTATGGGTCAGGAGATAGAAGCAGAAGATGGATCTGGGGGAATACCAGCACTTAATGGTTGCCCTAGGGGAGGAGTACAGACACTGAGAAGGAGCAACTTTGGACTGCAAATTGGAGTTAAAACCAGGGTGCAGAAGGTGTCTAAAGAGATCCAGAATAAATTCTGAATTTCTAAGACTTAGGTCAGTTTACTGATGAAAGTATTCTTTGTTTTCGTTATTTTCTGTTTGCTTTCAGTTTATAATGAATTTGATACAGAGCTTCAGTTTTTTAGGTAGTATACTTTGGTGACCTCTGGATCTTGTGGTTTTACCAGTTTTTCCTCTTTGTGTTGATGGAACTGTAGTGTTAAATTTTAACACTGAAATACTTTCATCCCTAAGTTCTTTTTTTTTTTTTTTTTTTAAGTGAAAAGAAATTTGGCTTTGCCTAAATCTTAGCACTAGATTGCCTTTATTCAGAAGCAGTCAGATACAGTACTTGTGATTGTATGAAACTTGGAATAAAAACTTAGAACTTTGGTAATGTGGTTTTATAAAAACTTTTACTGTTTAGGAGAACCCTCAATGGTTCATTATACACTGTATAAACATTTTCCATATTAGTCTGTTTTGTAAAATTATGCCATTTGAAGCATCTGTTCCCAGTTAATTTGGCTGTTAACAAAGGTATGTTATGTAATTCAGATCATATTCTGTGCTTTGATTTTTTTCTATACTTTTTATATGCTGCTTAGCAGTCTTAGTTTTTTGAATTAAAATTTTGTAGACAATATGAAAAGAAAGGACTTTGGAGTAAGAAGGACACAAATTGTAGCTCTTTCATTATACTAGTTGTATGTTTCTTTGAACTTCATTCTTCATCAGTAAATTGACATTTTTCCTCAAGTTGCAGGTATGCCCTGTTCATTTTTCGTAATATTTGCAACATTTTATTGCATGTCTCTTCTTTACCAGAATGTTAGCCCATCAAGATAAATTCTTCTCTATGTCCCTTACATATACCTGATCTATAGAACAGTTAGATTTTTTTTTTTTTTTTAAGATTTTATTTATCTGTTAAAGGGAGCACAAGCAGGGTGTGAGGGACAGAGGGAGAAGCAGACTCTCTGATGAGCAGGAAGCCCAATGTGGGACTCGATCCTGGGATTCCAGGATCATGACCTGAGCTGAAGGCAGACACTTAACAGACTGAGCCACCTAGGCATCCCAAGAATCAAGTTAGATTAATTCTAACTATTTCACAGAGGGCTGGGAATTAAATGAGCTGTATTAAAAGTGTTAGATTTGGAAAAGTTTTTACTTTCCTGACATCCAGAATGGGCATAGTAAAAGGCTTATAATTAGCACTGTGCACATACTCTCTCTAATGGAGAGGAATGGATGTTGGTAATAACTGGGTTACTGTAAATTGTCACAGACATCACCAGGTAGCTTCTTTGCATATCCAGAAGCAGTTAAGCAGTTTTCATGTTTTCAGCTTTTACCTTAAAGTTTTTAACGAGGTCACTGTCTTTTGTCCTCACTCTGATCCATTTTGACCAAGTGTTCTTCATAAGACCTGGGTTTCAGTCTTGGTTCTTATACCACTTGTACACCTAAATTATTTCTTCAAGTCCCATTTTTATTTTTCTATAAAATGGGAATATAGTGATATCTTTTTCCTGCTATTGGTTAAATTAAATGTAAAATTCTACCAAGAATTGTTTCCCAAATGTTATTTATTAAGAGAGTTTTTCATACTCAGATTATAATAAGCAAAACAACAAAGGAGGAAGAGTGATGCTATAGCTTGAAATTTTCTGTTTTCTGTTGAAGTGGAAGAGCATATGTTGCACATTGTTTTCCAAATCTAGTAATCCTGTGTATTGATTTGTTGTGGAGAATTCAGTATGCTTTTGAAAAAAAATCTTCCATGCTTTTGAGGGCACCTGGGTGACACAGTAGGTTGAGCATCCAGCTCTTGGTTTCAGCTCAGGTAGTGATCTCAGGGTCCTGGGATCAAGCCCCAAGTCAGACTCCATGCTTAGCAGAGTCTGCTTAAGACTCTCTGCCCCTCCGTCCTGCGCACGTGCACCCGCACACACACGCACACACTCTCTAATCTTAAAAAAAAAAAAAAAAAAACCTTCATGGTTTTAAATGAGAATTTTGAGGGGTGCCTGGCTGATTCAGTTGGAAGAACATGTGACTCTCAATCTCAGGGTCATGAGTTTGAGCCCTATGCTGGGTGTAGAGATTACTTAAATAAATAAACGTTTTAAAGAATGAAAATTTTCAGGAGCCAGTTGGGAATTAAACTTAATTTAAAACCTATTTTGTTTGTTTTGCTTCACCTGTTGAAGGTAGTTATGGGTTAACCTGCAATAGCCAACATTTTGGTTTGCCAAAGTGACCAGAGTGGTGTGTTGAGGTACAAAGCCCATATATGTGTATATGGCTATCATTAGAGGAAATAAATATAAGACCTTATTTTCAAATTCAGGTTTGATCTGTAGTACTGTATATAGACTTTATTGCTACGTATACTTGGTGAAAATCAGCATCTGTTGGTTTCTGGTTAATTTTTCAGTTCTTTGGTGACTTACATAAAATGGGGTCTAAGTAAATAAGGGTTCATTGTTCTATAGTAAATTTTGATTGTGTAGTTTTTAGTAATATGAACTGAATTGTGGAATAATTTAGACTACTGCAGCATAAACAGGTAATCTTGGCTCATGTTAAAGAAATGCTTAGAAAATAGAAATGTACATGGATTATTTAGGAGTAATATTTTAAATATCAGAGTTAAAAAAAAATAGAGTTAAGCAAATTTTTCTTTTCACAGAATGACAGCCCATACCAAGGCGGTGTATTCTTTTTGACAATTCATTTTCCTACAGACTACCCCTTCAAACCACCTAAGGCAAGTATTTGCCCCCAAAATCCATTAGTAAATAAGATCTGTGCATTATTTCAGAGGAGTAGAATATTCTTAGAAATCAACGTTCTACATAAATAAGGCTAAATTGCGGTGGGGTGTGTGTATGTAGTGAATAAGAATAATTAAGGCTAAATATATCTGTATTAAGTCACCAGTACAGAATGCTAACTTTTAACCTTTAGTTAAGAGAGCAGTTAGACCTGGATTTGAACTTTGTAAATGGAGATAAGAACTGACTTATCCTTAATGTTGCAAGACTTTGATACATTAAATGGAAGCTTTTCCCACCGTTTATTATGCTCATACAGATTTGTATTATTAACCTTTGTAATAGTAGGCTTCAAGTATTAGTTTCCTGTGCATTTGCCCATATTGTTGCAGCCTATGCTATGTTTGTTGGGGTTCACATGGGCTGTCTTTCAGGGGTTTGCATTTGCATATATAATAATAAACCTATCAAAACTTAGGGTTGCTTAATGCACTGAGGTGCCTGGTGTACAGTTATTAAAAGCATAAGGTCTTGACTCTTCAGAGCAATTAACATAAAGCCAACCTGTATGAATAACAATAGAAAATAACAACGTTGGCACTTCAGCCATCTTTGCAATCCTGTTATAGGTGCAGTATAATAGTTACTTTAGATGAAACACTTGCGATCATTCAAATTTTATTTTATGTACAGTGGAAATGCAGACTAAAACACATACCTTTGTAACTTGATACCTTAAATGAGTTGGTCTATAAATTTGGTTTACATTCTGAAGTTCCTTTACTTTTTAATGAATGTTGATTACTGTTCACAATGCTCTTTTTGATACTGAAGAGCCAAAGTTAACCTTCAGAATATCCCATCATATCATTGATAGTAAAATTTTTGCCACAAAGTTACATTTTCCATTTTAATTAAAGAGAGGTAGCCCCTGAAAGATCTTGATCAGAATATCCGAACTTGGTTCTGTAATTTCTAGTCCTTTAATGTGTATAAATAGGTTTCAGCCATTTGAGAGTGTGAGAATGTGTGTGTGTGTGTGTGAGAGAGAGAGAGACACGCAGTATTGTAAGCCTTGCTTAAAAGTCTTCTATATATTACTTGGGGGGAAAATACCTAAAGGTTTTTATTTATTTATTTTAGGTTGCATTTACAACAAGAATTTATCATCCAAATATTAACAGTAATGGCAGCATTTGTCTCGATATTCTAAGATCACAGTGGTCTCCTGCTTTAACTATTTCTAAAGGTAAAGTATTTTTAGAGTCTCGAGCTGCTCTGACTTTTTAATTAAAGGAGTTTGATTGGGGCACCTGGGTGGCTCAATCGGTTGGGTGTCTGCCTTGGGCTTGGGTTGTGGTCCCGGGGTCCTGTGATCGAGCCCCGCGTCGGTCTCCTTTGCTTGGCAGAGAGCCTGCTTCTCTCTCCCTCTGCTGCTCCCCCTGCTTGTGTGCTTGTGCTTGCGTTCTCTCTCTGTCAAATAAATGAATAAAATCTTTAAAAAAATGAGTTTGATTTTGGGGCCTACTTAATATTATGCCGATGTTTTGGTAAGAGGTGGGGAAGAAAAAAAGTTACATTTTATGCTTTTAGTGGTATTGATTAAAGATTTTGTGGGAAAAAGTTAAAATTCAAATTAGGGTATAGGCATTATTTGCAAATATATAGTAAAGTTTCTTAAATAGATTTCTGTAGTATTTTCAATCCTAGGCCCACTCATATCTCAACTCGCTTCTGCGTTTTACAAAATGGTAGATCTAAAGTTTAGTAGAGCTTTTAAATCTTGGTTTCCATTATAGGAAGATTCCGATTTTGCTTTCTTGTGTTTATTACAGTATTTTTTTAGATAAAAAGCCTTTTAAAACAATTTAGTTAGGTGTTGTGTTTAATAGGTTGTTCCTACCTAGTAATAGGCTAAAATTATTAGTCGTGGAAATGTCTCTAGATTAATTCTGGTCTTCTACTTTTAATAAGGGTCCATTATATGACATCTCTAATAGATTGTCTAGTCTCCACATGAATATCCCAGATAGAGATGGAGTACCTCCATCATTCTCCATTTTGAATGACTATGGTGGCTTTTGTCACCACCACCACCCCCCCCACACACACACACACAAAATGACCTACCACAAAACTACATAATGGGAAGGAAGTTTGCCTTCCAGTAAATTTTGGTTTTTGGTGTTGATTAAGCATCCCTTAGGTACAAAAAATGAAGTTTTTTTAATATTGCTAATTAAGACAGTGTTTCAGATACATGTTGGTATAATGAATTTGAAATCACTCTTGGAGAGGAAAAAAATCCATTTTGGTGAACGCTGCTATAATTTCAAGTGTGACATAATTGTTTTTCACCTTCTTGGGATACATTCCAGTTTCCTTGCAAATCACCTCTCTTAACACCATGTATTATAGATCTGCATGTATACAGATAGTATACAGACTCAGTATCAAGAACATCCTAATAGTAGGTTCCAAGTTTATCACTGTTGGGAATCAACACTATGTTTCTGTAAATGTGGGTTGAATTTTATGTGTGTCCTCCTGCCTTTTGGGTTTAAAATTATATTTGCTGTAATATATATTACATTAGTACTGTCTTTTATGGTAATGTTATCTTTGAAGATTTTCATAACCGCTCTAAGCTTTTATATGTTAAAATTTTATAACACTTTGCAGTGTCTGGCACATAACAGGCATACAAAATGAATTAGATATATGCTCTGTGATGCTTGGTATCTTCCAAGTTCATATATTGAACAGGTCAGGGTAAGAACTATTAGAGTTGAGAAGGCTCACTTAGTAATAGAGCTAGATCTCCACATTCATTTAACCAGTACTGTTAGTTTATAATTATATTCAAGGAGACAAAACACAGTGGAGAAGTTGGGAGTTTTTGTGAAACTCCCCTGAGGGTAGAGCAGAGAATGGATTTGTCTTTTTAAATATTTATTTAAGTAATTGCTACTGTCAACATGGGACTTAAACCCACAACCCCCAAGATCAAGAGTCACATGCTTTCCTGACTGAGCCAGCTGGCTCCCCAAGAATGGATTTTTTCATCATGCCTTAACAGCTGAGAATAACATTGCACAGGTGTTCCCTGCATATTCTTTGCTAGATTTCCCCCCTCAAAGTACCAAGAAACTCCAGTTACTTAAATTCTTATGTCACTTTTTAAAAATGATTATTAATAAGCTAATATAGCATCATTTGAATATCTCAGAACTCCTGAGTTGGGCAGGACAAAGCTCTATTTCTAGCATTCCTTATTTACCAGGAGTTTGTCTCCTATGAAGCAAAATCTCTCACTGACATTAAGGTACAAACTAAAAATCTTTTGAGGATTGACGTTTTTAAATATACTTTTATTTATCCAAATTCCCAATGCTGGGTAACAGACTTTTTTTTTTGTTCTTATTTGCAGTTCTTTTATCCATTTGTTCACTGCTATGTGATCCAAACCCAGATGACCCCCTAGTGCCAGAGATTGCACGGATCTATAAAACAGACAGAGATAAGTAAGTATGTAGTAATTTAAGGAAATAATATAAAGAGTGATTTATCTTAATGAGCTAGGCTTATAGTCTATTGTAAGTTTTGGCAATGCCAAGAAGATTTGATGATTTATTTCTGGTAAGATAATAGTTAAAATGTACAGAAAGGTAGTTTTTGAAATGGGATTTTTTTTTTTTTTTTTTTTTTAGTTTATGTGACCGTGAATAGTCCCTCTAAAACGTTCTATTTTTCTAACATGTTCAGTGCTTTGTCACTAAGTTTTTGGGAAGAAAGCAAAGTTTTCTTTACCCCAATTATGTTTTGAAACACTGGTACTGTTACAAAAATTTGTCTAAATTTCTCAAATATTTGAATTATCTTTATGTACGACTTCACCATTATAACTTTGTTGTATGTTATAATTAATGCCAAGTATACTTGTTCAATTAGGTACAATAGGTTAGCAAGAGAGTGGACAGAGAAATACGCTATGTTGTAGGGTAAGAGGATCTGCACTCTATGGTGCGCTTATTCATGGTACTGCCAGCACTTGAGTGCTGCATGTTTTAAGGCACTTTATTAACTAACAGAAGGTAACATTTACAGTTTTTTGAAAACTGTACAGTTAACTGCTTGATCTCTGTTGAGCGTGAAAGTATACCCAGTAGTCATTATTGCTTGAGAGTACTTTTGCATGGCAAAACAGTTATATATAGCACTAGTAAGAAACTAAAGTTTAAGTAGTATCTTTTTCAAACTACTATGGTATTTACATTTTAAATTTGGCGTATTTTAACCTTTATACCAGTACTATATGGAATGTGGTGATTCAGTTCAAATTTGGCCAAGAAATAATAACGTAAGGGGAAAACACTTTTAATAAAGCTTCTAAGCATCTAAACTAAATGTTCATTACTGACAAGCATGCATTAATATCAACTATACTTTGTGGCTCCTTGTATGCTAAATGAAACCTTTGTTTTAAAGTGCTGGCTTTTTGAGAGGGTGTCCTTAAATGAGGTAACCATGAATGGTAGAAAGAACTTCTATATGCCAAAGTTTAGAAAAATGGTTGAACCATGTTTAGTTCTTGGTTTGAAATGAAGCTAGTTAATATTTTACAAAGTTTAAACTAGAAATACAAATCTAAAAGTTCTCTTGTGCCCTTTGATGTATATTCATTTCTTAGTTTAAATCACTATTTTGGTAAGTAGCCTATGGCGCATGGATGTAATACAGGGAGAAATTGATAGCATTTGTCAGTATTAGAGATGTTCCTCAGTAATAAATAACGTTGCTCTTGTGTGAATTATCTGTTGATCTTTTAAACAGATGCCCCCAAGTTGCACTCCTACTAGAGATTCCCATTTATTAGGTCTCAAGTGGGGCTTGTTAGCTCCAATCACCACCCTTTCTAAAAGTAACACATAAGTGTTCTAATTAACACATACGTACCAGTCCCACCCACCTCCCTCTTGAAAATTGCTTTTTTCACCCTCCTCAGTGTCTAATCTTCTACCTGTGCTTAAATTTAAAAGGTATTTTCTGGTATTACCCAGGCTCTAGTAATTTCTCAAGGTCTAGGTTTCACATAAAATTGTTTGGTTCCAGCTTTGATGGAAATTTCTATAGATGTTCAGAATCTGTGTTGTACTCAGACATAAGCCCATGATGAACTTTAAAATACTTTTTTTAATGTTAAAATTTGTTGGAATGGATACTAATTTTAGAATTTCAAATAGAACATTTAACTAGGTGGTAGGGGAGAGAAAAGGTCTTTGATTTTTGTTAGCCTCCCCAATATCAATGCCACCTTATTGTGTTTGTTAAAATATTTTTAGTGTATTGGAAACATTGTATTGGAAGCATAAGGTTTCCATTCCCCACATTGCTTTGAGTACCAGTGCTTTTTCTCCATGAGAGATGACTCCATGATGAGTCTGGAGGTAAAATAGCAATCTTTTCCTTTAAAGTATTAAGAATTCATTTTTAACTTTTTAAGTAACATCTTCTTTATTTACAGGTACAACAGAATATCTCGGGAATGGACTCAGAAGTATGCCATGTGATGCTACCTTAAAGTCAGAATAACCTGCATTATAGCTGGAATAAACTTTAAATTACTGTTCCTTTTTTGATTTTCTTATCCGGCTGCTCCCCTATCAGACCTCATCTTTTTTAATTTTATTTTTTGTTTACCTCCCTCCATTCATTCACATGCTCATCTGAGAAGACTTAAGTTCTTCCAGCTTTGGACAGTAACTGCTTTTAGAAACTGTAAAGTAGTTACAAGAGAACAGTTGCCCAAGATTCAGAATTTTTTAAAAAATGGAGCATGTGTATTATGTGGCCAATGTCTTCACTCTAACTTGGTTATGAGACTAAAACCATTCCTCACTGCTCTAACATGCTGAAGAAATCATCTGAGGGGGAGGGAGATGGATGCTCAGTTGTCACATCAAAGGAAGCAGCATTATTCTAGCATCCAGTCTTTTTTTAAGCCTTCCACTGTTAGAGATTTGAGGTTACATGATATACTTTATGCTCATAACTGATGTGGCTGGAGAATTGGTATTGAATTTATAGCATCAGCAGAACAGAAAATGTGATGTATTTTATGCATGTCAATAAAGGAATGACCTGTTCTTGTTCTACAGAGAATGGAAATTGGAAGTCAAACACCCTTTGTATTCCAAAATAGGGTCTCAAACATTTTGTAATTCTCATTTAAATTGTTAGGAGGCTTGGAGCTATTAGTTAATCTATCTTCCAATACACTGTTTAATATAGCACTGAATAAATGATGCAAGTTGTCAATGGATGAGTGATCAACTAATAGCTCTGCTAGTAACTGATTTATTTTTCTTCAATAAAGTTGCATAAACCAATGAGTTAGCTGCCTGAATTAATCAGTATGGGAAACAATCTTTTGTAAATGCAAAGCTGTTTTTGTATATACTGTTGGGATTTGCTTCATTGTTTGACATCAAATGATGATGTAAAGTTCAAAAGAGTGAATATTTTGCCATGTTCAGTTAAAAGTGCACAGTCTGTTACAGGTTGACACATTGATTGACCTGATTTATGCAGAATTAATAAGCTATTCGGATAGTGTAGCTTTAGTATGCTGCACGTGATACTGGCAGCCCTGGAGTTCATAGATGGACTTGGGACCCAGCAGTTTTGAAACATGTATATGGAGTTGAAGAAATTTATTTTCCAGGTGCAACCCCCATCTAACTAAATTTTTTTCTTCACCTTGTACACTTGACAGCTGAAAAAACCATAACATGGGAGTAATAATGGGTTAAAATTTACAAAATAAAGTACTGTTTTGGTGTGGGAGTTGTCATGAGGCTGTGTTGAAGTGACTTAACTATGTGGGATATTGAATATCCATTGAAATGGATTTGTTCAGCCATTTACATTAATGAGCATTTAAATGCAACAAATATCATTTCAGGTGACTTAACATGAATGAATAAAAGTCAATGCTATTGGATTATTTTTTGTTTGACAAGTGCTATCTGTGCCACTAATTTAACTTCTGTAGTAACAAGGGCATTATCATTCTTCACCCTTCCTAATCCTGACCCTATAGTTTCACTTTTTTCCTATTTTGATTTGTCCATTGCTTTCTTAAAATCTTGTATTTGATTTCTAGCACATCTGTGACTTTCCTCCACTTCACATTTTTGCACTGCTTACATTTATGTGCAATCTTACTCCTTGTCTGCACACAGATGTGGAAAGCTAGATATAAAATAAATGTTAAAGCTTGATTTTTTTTATAAACATTTTAATACGTAGTTTGGACATGGTTTATTGACTTAAGGTTTTTCTCTAAACTGCAAGTGAAATGCATGCCTTCCGAAGATGTTCTGACTTTGTTAATTCTGTAATTTAAGCATTTCATTGAGAAATATCAACCCAGCTATACAATTTTCCAACGAGTGAATTTTTTTCATTTCATCTTTTACTTAAAAAATTACTCCTTAAAGGTAGATGTCATACTGTTAAAGCTATTTTGGATTCAAATTACAAATGAAAAATTAGTAGCCTACTGCTCCATAAGGTAAGAAATACTGTTCTTTTGCTCTGTTTTCAAAATAATTACTTCTGATTCTATACTCTCAAAGTAATAGCTTTAGTAGGCATATCACTGGAAGCCAGCTGTGAATAAACAGTTTGTCAGAGCTTCTGAATTTCAAGCTGATTATTTTTTTTAGCCGTAGACAACCTTGCGTATTCATAGAGATGACTTAAACCATTGATTGTCATAATAATTACTAGATGTGTCCAGTTCTCTGTATCTTTGATGCTTTCTACAACATTTCTTACGTCACTTCTAAGGGAATAAGCCATAATGGCTTCTCCAGGTTTAAGAGAACAGTAAAGTACCTGGAAAACCAACATTTTTGAATGTATGGACACCGGACTTGAGATCATCTCCAATGAAACCTTCAAAAGAATCCAAGAATTTGCCCTTTTTCCCCATATACATTACTAGTGCCGTGTGTAGGACTGGATGCATATTAGAAGATTAAAAATTGATTTTGGTTCTTACATATTTCCTAGATCTTTTCATGCATAAAGTCAAATTTTTAATACTGAGTTTCTCAATCTATGAGAAGTATAGTCCATCTGACCTGTTAATGGTAAATTATATTAAGTGACTCCTTTTTCCTGGGCAAGTTTGCAATGTGATACCAGATTTTTTAAAAAGCTTGTTAGTTTGCTTTCTTGTGTGGGTGTACTCACAATTTTTTAAAAGTATGAACCACAGTTAACTAGTGGTCTCAGGGGTAGTGAAACACTCACTTTTTTTTTTTTTAAATGGCTTAGTTAAAATATGCTTCAGTTACTGATCATGCTGTGTTAGTGATTTTGGAGGTAACTCAAATTAGCCGTGTTTTGTGTTGGCATTACAAAACTGTTAAATGATTGTTGATTACACTTTTAAGTGAATTTGTCTTCTATTTTATGAGGAAACCAGTACAAGTCACTGAATATTGTCTTAATAGTGACATCTGCTTAACACTTGTAATAGCTAAGGTTAATTGAGCTTAAAGGAATTGTTACCATTAAAGTCTGTGTTTAAAGACACTTTGGTCTCAGTAATTCCAGCTAACATGAAATCCACACTTTAATACTGTGTGTGAGTTCTATTTTGAACCTCTTAAAATAGCAGTTATAAAACTGGTCTATAAAGAATTAAGACTAGTTCTCAAAGTGTGGTTCCAAGACTCTAGTAATCAGTATCATTTGGGAAGTTCTTTAAAATGGAAATTACCAGACCACACTCCAGGTTTACTGATTGAAAAAATTTGAGAAACCCAGTGCTCTGTTCTAAAAAGCCATCCAGGTGATTCTGAAATCTAGCTCTAACCCCACAGCAGCAGTCCTTGCCCTATAGCTAGTTATTGGACACCTCTTGCTGTTTCATAGGGATAAGAGAACTTCTGTTGGATGCCCAAATACTACATTTCCACTTTATATCTGACAAATTTATAGCACTTTGAAGTATAATGTAGGTGGTTTTACACATTTACTTAACATACTAACATCCTACAATTAATTTGTCTAACCCAGTGACCTTCAAATTTATAACATTTAGCTTTGTGTATATATAATTCAACCAATGGCCAAGTAGTATTTAAAGAGTAACCAGGTACAAAAGTCGGCCAAGTGTTGGTTGAAAAGCTGAGCAAGGATTTGAACACTGGTCTCTTCCTGTGGCCTAAAATGGCTTAGTAGTTTTTTGGGGGGGGGGAGGGGGTTTAGTGAAAGGGTAAAATTTCATGTTTAGGGTGTTTGCAGTGTTCATTGGATTTAGCATATATTGAACATACTCAAAAGTAGCTATTAAAGCTTTCAACATCCCCAATGTAATATAAATTGTAAAGGCATTTGGAAACAGGATTTAAAAGCATGACCACCTTTGCACCCCCAACGCCCCAAAATGTTATGGAAGAGCTGTGCAAAAGAACTGTTTTCTAGAAAGGCTAGGAAGATGGTTTTCTTTAGGTCTCCAGTAATGAGAATTTTGCATTCTTTCCTGCTACGCTGTTTAACTCATACTTTCTTGCCTCATTTTGGAGAATGTTTTATGAATTTTAACTCTGGCACACTATTTCTAGTAATTGCTCTTTTACATGGAATTTTAGTTAAGATCCCATTGTCAGTTATCCAAATTGTGCACTATTTCTGGATGAGATTTAAAAACTTTTAAGAGCCCTCAAAGTTTTCCTGTACTGAAAATGGTTTTATGAATTCATTTTCATTGTGCATACTATTGTGTGAGCCTCTTAAATAACTCAGTACCTTGTTGGTATATTAAATTTGAATAGTGTCAAAACCAAACAACTGGAGTTTCGTGCCCTGGTTGCTTAAGAGAACATAGCTAACCATTGTCATTTGCTGACCTCCCAGCTATCTCTTCTAAACTGTATAGCTCCTTACTCATTATCCACCTGGCTACCTAAAAGCTACCCTTTTAAAAGTGTCTAAAACCTTGATTTCTACACAGATGCACACACCCCTACCTCTTTTTGGGCTCAGTAAGTGTAAACATTTCTTTGAGTTGCACTGGCCCAAAGCCTAGGCATCAGCCTTGATTTCTCACACTTCCAAATTAAACAGCAATCCTCTCAGTTTTTGGTTTTTTTTTCAGTCCTACTTTTAATTTTTACTCAATCTACTTATTCCCTGTATTTACTGCTGCCACCATGGTAGAAAGCTCCATCACCTCTTGGATTATTGCAATAGCCTCCTCAGTGGTCCTCCTGCTTTTTACTTTGCAGCAGTCTGTCCCTCACACAACACCCAGAATAATCCTTTTAAGCCACATTACATGTCCTCCCTGCAAACCTAACCGTTTGCCATCTCATTCAGAGTAAAACCGGAATTACTAAGGTGAACTACAAGCTGTAATGACTTTTCCCACCACCTCTGCTTCTTTAGCATACTCTGCTCCACCACTCCCCAGCTCCCTCAGCTCAGTCACACAGGCCTCTGGTGAGACTTGAACACGCGGGACTTTCATCTTAAGATGTCTGCCCTTGTTCTTCCCTTTGCCTGGAATTATCTCAGATGCCATACGGCTCCCTCTTCCCTATAAGTGTTCAAATGTCAAACTTTAATTAGAGTGGTTTTTCTCAACTATTCCACAGGAAATACCAACAGCCCTGCCATTGTAAAGTGTGCCATGGCATATTCAATATTATCCACCTTGCATGTAATACTTGTTTCTTCTTCAACTCTATCCCAGAATGTAAGCTCTGTTAGGGATTTTGTCTGTTTTGTTCTGCTATATTCCTCAATGACTAGATGACTGCCAGGCACATTGTTAGGTGGCCAAATATTTAAAGTCTAAACGGTGGACTTTACCAAAAATATTCCTTGCTGTATTTTTAACTCCAAAAGTGCAAAAAAGGAACCCTACAATATACTATAGAAAAGTAGTTCTCCCTTACCCACAGTCTTAGTTACTCGTCAACTGTGGTCCAGGATCAGATCATCCTGTTAACATCGTCAGGAGGTCAATAGTAGCCTAAGTATGTCACATTTACCTCACTTAATGCCATCACGCAGGCATTTTATCCTCTTATATCACAAGAAGGGTGAGCACAGTACAGCAAGATATTTTGAGAGACCACGTAACTTTTCTTATACAGTTATAACAGTATATGTTGTAATTTATTTTTGTTAATCTTACTGTACCTAATTTATAAACTATCATAGGTATGTATGTATAGGAAAATATATAGTATATAGAGGGTTCAATACTTTCAGCAGTTTGAGGCATTCACTGGAGGTCTTGAAACATACCCTCCACAGATAAGGGGGACTGATGTAATGAATGGAAGCTTCTTTACTCTCTGACTACTGTAAGAAAAATAGCATCACAGTCAGTAGATGGACAGTTCAGTTTCCATTAGTATAGATGATTATGCTGACCAACTCTCCTGTAAAAAAGCAACTAAAGATCCTGAGAAAGGGGCGCCTGGGTGGCTCAGTTGTTAAGCGTCTGCCTTTGGCTCAGGTCATGATCCCAGGGTCCTGGGATCGAACCCCGCATCGGGCTCCCTGCTCGGCGGGAAGCCTGCTTCTCCCTCTCCCACTCCCCCTGCTTGTGTTCCTGCTCTCACTATGTCTCTCTC